CCGGGCCGGGCTGCCCTTCAGGCCCTTTGTTGCATGTGAAGGTCACTGAGGGTCGCAGATCTTCCAGGCCCTGCAGTGACCTCTGCATGGCTCCCTCTGGCCTGCTTCCCAGCGGAGAAGCCCACACAGGGCACTAGGTAAGGGACAAGACCAGAGGAGAGCAGAGCCCCCGTCCCCTAGAGCTCCCGCGGGCCCAGGGGGACAGCTGGGCTTGCCCCACATAACGTGGGCACAACCTCCAACCCACAGTGCCCCTCACGGGCCTGCATCCAGTTAGTAAACAAATGGGCAGGAGAAGCAGCCTGGGGCCTGGGCCAGGGACCTGGTCCCGGAGGGAGCAGCCTGTCTCCCGCCTGTGTCTTCCTGCATGTAATTCCTCCTGCATTTGAAATGAGGGTCTGTCATAGGAGGGATCACATTTATAAGGTTGTGCCTTACCTACGGGCTGTCATAGGGCTGGTTAAGCTATAACACTCACCTTCACACAGCGCACTCTTCTTTTTGAGTTCACAGCGCCCATTTCCCCCGCCCAGGACAGGACAGTTATTATCCCATTGTCCAGATGAGTAAGTTGAGGCCAGATTGGGCTGGGTGACCTGTGCACGGTCACATGGTTAATGGGAGGTGGAGCCACGTGGGAGGAGACCCCAGATCTCGGAGGGGGTGGGGGGTTCCAAATCCTTTCCTTCATTTGTATTTGCAATGCCTTCTACCTTTCTGAAATGTCGTCATGCTGCACACGTGGCCATCCTGGGAGAGCCCGTGCCCTGACCGCTCCCACGGCCCGCACAGGTGCTTGGGGAACGGAGCTGACCTGGGTGCGAGTCCGAGTAGCTGATGGCCCGTCTCTACCCAGCAGCCGATGGCTGGAACCGTAAACCGTGCCGAGCAGCACCGGATGTGTTAACAAACGCAGCACAGGAGTTTGCCAACATGTTTGTGCCATGTCTGGTGGATTGACAGATGCAGAGAGTGAGTCACATTTCAGTTTCTGGGAAGCGACTTTCAACTCCATGAAAAACGACCCTCTGTCAAGTTTCTTCTCACCCGTCACCAGTGGCCCTTTACAAACCCATCTGAGCTCGAACTATTTCAGACTTACAGACGCGGGCAAAAACAGTGCCAACACCCCCTCCCCCTCAGGCGCACAGGCAGGATGTGAACAATGGCCATTCTAATAGCATTTGTCTTCCATCAGCCAGCGCCGATGCACCCTACAGTCTGTGCCTGGAATCGTGCTCTTTAAAGGGCACTGTGTTTCCCGTGTGGCCCGAAAGATCCCTTGGAAAGGGATCAAGATGAGGAACAAAGGCCCAGGAACCGGGTAGAACCCGAGGGTGTGACACCGGGCGTCTGGCCTTCCGAGAGAAGCATTAGGGACACACATTGGGGCACTGAGAGGTTTAAAAGCAGGATGAGGACGAATCAAGGACCCATTTTCCTACTGTCCTGAAATCACGCCTAAGCTGGGTGGTCTATCTCCAAAAGGGGATGGGGTGGGCATAGGAAAGAGCAGTGCACGCCCCCTCCCCAAGTCATCTGCGCAACTCGCTGCCCGTGTGCCCGGATGTAAAACAGCCTCAGCTGCACGGACCGAACATTTGTAAATGCAGAAGGAAGGCGCTTCCTCCCCAGCCGACACGAGACAGCTCGCGGGAACGGAAGTGCCAGCCTCTCTCCGGTCCCCCGGCAGATAGAGGACACGTTGTCTCGGGAACAGCTTGTCATTTTCAGTGACTTCTCCCCATGGCTCCAAAATGATGATTTTCTTTTTTGTTTTATATATATATATTTTTATTGATTTCAGAGAGGAAAGGAGTGGGAGGGAGGAAGGGAGGGAGAGAGAGAGACATTGATCGGCTGCCTCTTGCAGGCCCCACACTGGGGACCGAGCCTGAAACCCGGGCACGTGCCCTTAACTGGGAATCGAACGCTGACATATATATATATTTTTATTGATTTCAGAGAGGAAAGGAGTGGGAGGGAGGAAGGGAGGGAGAGAGAGAGACATTGATCGGCTGCCTCTTGCAGGCCCCACACTGGGGACCGAGCCTGAAACCCGGGCACGTGCCCTTAACTGGGAATCGAACGCTGACCTCCTGGCTCATAGGTCGGCGCTCAGCCGCTGAGCCACCAGTCGGGCCCAAACGATGGTTTTCAGTGAGACAGTGAGAAGTGTCTCCACAGAGACAGCCTCCCCTCTGCGGGCGAAGGGGAAGCGCTGTTACTAGACTCAGACACTCACGTGGCATTTGAGACAGTTACACACATTCCGTGTTCCTGGGGCTGAGGGCTCTCTCGGGCCAGCTCACCCACCAAGCCTGTTTGCTTTCTATGACTTGCTCTCAGCGACCAGCGAGGAATAGCTCAGCAAGTCCACACGAAACGGGGCGACGGGCGGAGCGTCTGTCTGCGGCGACACCCCCTGTTTCCTTCATCGGAACGTGGTGGTCACCTGGGGAGGGGACGCGACGGGACGGGGAGGACGTCAGCGGTGTAAGCCTCGAGGTCCGGGGCGAGGAAGGCAGGGACCAGCCAGCGCCGGGCTCTCGCTCTCTGCAGCCGCCTGCGGTCTGGCCGGCCGGCCGGGGTGCCGCCTCGCTTGGCCCTGAGATTTCTCCTTCGTTGCTATTTCCACGCGCCTGTGCTTCTCCTCAGAGGCCCAGGGCGTGTCTCGAGTCTGATTTTCAAAAATCGTTCTTCAAAGGGAGCGGCGCTCTTCGCAGAGGCCGCACATGGGCCGCGGTGTCCGGCGGGTGGGGGTGGCATGACTGAGGTTTGCAAGAAGCGCAGAGAAAACTGGAAAAGGATGTGCGCCAGGCGAGGGGCCTCCAGCGGCCCCGCAGCGCTAAGGGGCAGAGCCCACACCTTTTCCACGCGGTCCCACGGCTGGCAATCCACTTCCTTGTCTGACCTGGGGCCCTGGGAGGTATTTCTAGCTCCACAAAATGGGGCTTCCAGACCTTGCTCAGGAAATGAGGGTCTGGATGAGGGTGGAGGGAGGACCAGGGCCAACCTGAGAGGCAGGAAGTGGAGGTGTCCTGGGTCAGGCCTGTCTGCTCCCTGCCCGGCCCCACAGCGGGGACTCCCCAGCCAGAGTCCCAGAGGCACATTGAGGAGGGGGTTCTGGGATCAGAGCTCCCCACAGCGGGGACTCCCCAGCCAGAGTCCTGGAGGCGCGTTGAGGAGGGCGTTCTGCGATCAGAGCTCCCAACAGCGCTTTACAGCCCTGACTCCACATCTCACACCGAAGGCCCCATCTTCGGTCTCATTTATTAAGCTCTTCAATGGGCTCTTTCATGTTGCTCATTTCCTTCACGCATCTCCGCGTGAAACCAGCCAGCGTCTGGCTGGAGGCCAGTGGCCACCGAGCGGAGGCCAAAGATGCACGTCCCCCAGAGGTGTGACTGCAGCGTCCCCGTGGTCGCATTCAGCGAGCCCCCGGCAGGCTCACTGCCCGGTTCCCATTCGCGCTGGTCAAGACGGGGAAACGCGGTGTATCGTTCCAACGACTGCCAGGCAACGGCGGTCCGAGCCAGAATGACACCGACGCTGCTCATGTTTTATTACGTCATTACCTTGATTTCAACATTGTCTTAATAATGCAGATATGTTCTCCTATAAAATATGAGTACATCAAGTATATACATAGCTTGCTTATTACATACAGAGGTCAATTTATAAAAATAGATACTATCCTAATAATGAAAATAAATAAAAAAATATGGGACATTATTACCTCATCCTAGTAGTGACTTGCCTTTCCAGATGGGGCTGAGGGCGATGGAGGAGGGATTTGAACCGGGTACCTGGCCGGACTCCACTGCCCGGCGTGCAGAAGGTCACGGGCGTCCCTAGGTGCCAGCGAGCCAGTCCCTCTAGAGCAGGGGTGGAGAACGTCCGGCCCGCGGGCCATTTAAGGCCCGAGAAATCACCTGTTCTGGCCCTGCCAGGCCATTAGGGGTGAGTTAATGAAACGTTTGACCAAACAGAGCAGCTAGTTTGTGAGTGGATCATATCGTACGGCCCGTGAATGCTGTGATAAATATCCCCATGGCCCTGGGCCGGAAAAGGTTCCCCACTCCTGCTCTAGAGCCAAGGCCGGGGAGCAGCGGAGGCAGGGGCTCCTCGGTGATATGGGGGCTCCTCGGTGACACGGGGGCTCCTCAGTGATATGGGGGCTCCTCGGTGATACGGGGGCTCCTCGGTGAGCCCAGGGCAGTCCCGGCAGGGGTGAGGGTCCCTGTCCCGCGCTGAGATCTGTGGGCTCCAGTCCCGCAGGCAGCTCTGCAGCCCAGCCGCCCGTCCCGGGGCATCGGATGAGGGGGCGTCAGATGTTTGAGCGCAGTTCTCCCTTTATTTTTAGTAGAAACGAAAGTTTTCTGGAAGCGGCAGGAGGCACGTGAGGCTGTCAGCGCCAGCGGAGCCGCGGCTGGTTAAAGGGTTCCGTCCCGTGGGCGCAGCTCTCTGCCCGGCAGCTGGCGCCAAGGGGCTTGCTGAGATGGCGGGGCTCCCCAGACCCTTCCCTGAACCTGGCCCTTTGCCCCTCCCACGGCCTGTGCCCGGCTCCTCAGGGAGAGGCTATGTCCACTGGAGACGGTGCCCAGGGAGGCTGAGGGAGGCGGAGGGAGGCGGGCTGACTGCTTCCTCCTGGGTGTGCCGGTGGGATCGTCCCTGGTCCACGCAGCCCTGCCTCTCCCAGCTCACCTCCCCGCTGCCCCTTCTCCCCCCGTGGCGGGAGGGGAAGCAGGACCGGCCGTTTCCACGGGAGCGGGCTCTGCCTCCCGCATGGGGAAGGCTGTCCCTCTGAGGCCCTACTGTGCGCAAGGCCAGCACCCCGAGGCTGAGAAGGCGCTCCCAGGGCACTGCAGCTCTCAGGCGCAGCCGGGGCGGGTGTGCGATGCTGCTCCGAAGGCTGCGGGTCCGCAAGGCCGACCCGACCCTGTAACTGAGGCCCAGGGTGATGGGTGAGAGGCGTCGGCCCCCCCTGTGCCCTCCAGGCAGATCTGGGCCAGCCGTTCCCACAGAGGGAGCCAGTAGCTCCAACCAGGCCATCGCTGCTCTAAGTGACATGAGAATAAAGCAGCAAAAAGGCAGCGGGGCCCAGCACGTCCGCGGGAGAGCAGCGATCTTCTTCCTCTGCGGGCTCTCCCCGGAGCTCTGGGTGAGGGCAGACCACCTGCCGGGGAAGAGTCGGGCTGTCACCGTTAAGACGTTTATGGTCATTGACCAGAACAGTGTCCCTTGGGCTTCAGAACGGGGAGGTTTGGTGAGGCTGTTGGGAGCCGGGTGGGGAGGACGGGGGCTCAGACAGGAGAGAGGCCTGGGACAGGCGGGAAGGACGCTGGTCAGGGAAGGAGCTGGTCGGTAAGGGACACTGGACAGCATCCATGCACCTTCCACACCCAGAGGCCGCCGGCCTGCAGGGCTGGGGGTCAACCCACTGCCTGCCCTCGTCCATGAGGAACATCCCCTTGGCCCCGGGATGATCCCGAATCTAGCACTGAGACGGGACCTCCCAGGACCAGCATAGCCAGCGGTCGTCCTGGCAAATTAAGGGGAGGGATGGATAATGAACGCCACCCCCCCCATCTTACATCATGATCGTAGCAAACAAGATAAAGCCGTCCTCTGTGCCCACACAACAAGCGGTGATGACTTTGGACACAATTACCTGCAGCGCGGAGCAGAAAGGTCTTCT